CGATACTGGCAGTAGAACTCCGAATGCGGGTATCCAGAGCACTGGGGGGCGGGTGAGCAGCACCTCCCTCTGCACATCGAGGAGGCGTCCAACAACTGTGAAAGCCCAGAGATCAGCCGCAAACGTGGCGTGGGCCTGTTCATCCTCAAACACCTACTCCCAATCTGAGTCTGGATGGTGTGACCTGTATGTGGCCCATGGAGCATTCATCGAGCCGCCACTGGCCCATAGCACATCCTGGAATGGCGCACACAAGTCCAGCACGAGAGACCTCCTGGACCCTCCCACGACCGCCATAACATCAAATAGGCCCGAACGTCTCCAGTGGTGCGCATAGCTAGCTGGCCACGAGCAACGATTTCAGCATTTCCAGCAGCCTAGCCCTTAGATGACGCTGCACCACTGGCTACTCCAACAAATCCTTCAGGGCCTCGGTGGACAATGGCCCAACCACACCTGCGAAGACGCCAATCTTATGGTGCTTCCCTCCGGGGCCATTAATCCCCCAACCTCCCCTATGAGCTTGGGCCCCATTGGCTGCCCCCCCCCCCCCCCCCCGCATTCCCACACTACGAAGCAAGCTCAGCAGTCTCAGACAAATGCTCACGGAAGGCCTCCAGGGTGAGGAGGCCACGCAGCTAGAAATTGGAGTGCTCAGAGTGGTCTAAAGCATCCGAAGCTGAAGCAGCCGATCGCGTCACAGCCGCATCAGGCACGTCAGATTGGCGACGGCACGACCAGCATCGGGGAGACGCAGCTTCGCCCTCACAGCCGCATCCAGGGCAGCGATCTCGGGTCGCAGCCTCGTGGGCGGCCCGAGCATGGCGGTCCTCGGTCCCCAAACCTGCGATCGTGTGATCCCGAAGCAGACCAGCAGACTCCTGAGAGCCTTCTGTCCCCAGCTGTCCTGAGCAGACTCGGGGAACCGTATAACTTATAACCAAGTCCCTCTTCGAAGCTTGATCCAGGGCTCGTGTTCGGCAGCCCCTGCGTTGCCGCTTTGGCGCACGGACACGGCCCCGCGCCACCTCCTCGGCCAGAGCCGCCGCTGCAGGGCGATGGTGTTCGCCTGCGGCGCCTCGCACACGGCGCCGGCGCCGGAGGGCGGCGAGGCGCTCCCCCTCGGGCACAACGACGGTGGCCGGAGCGCTCTGCCCGCCGAGCGCCTGCGCGGCCGCAGGGTCACGCAGGCCGCCTGCGGCGGCCGTCACACGGCGCTGGTGCTGGAGGGCGGCGAGGCGCTCCCTTTCGGACACACCGACGGTGGCCAGAGCGCTCTGCCCGCCGAGCGCCTAGGCGGCCGCAGGGTCGCGCAGGCCGCGCCAGAGGAGCGCCTCGGCGACGCGGGGCCGATGCAGCCGGCGCCTCTAGGCCCGCCGGGGGCCGCCGAGCGGCCTTCGGCGCCGCAGGCGTCGGGGGGACAGATGCGCGCTGTGAAGAGTGAGGGCTGGTGGCCGGGGTACCGCCACTCTGTCTTCGTGGCGATGAGGAGCGTTACCCTACAGGGGTGCGGAGCTCGTGCCGATCATCGGAGTTCTCAGTGACGCCGTGCTCGGCTCTGCCACTTGGGAGGAGTGCCCAGCGGTGTTGCAGGAGTTCCAGGCGCAGTATGTGGACAAGAAGGAGCCGTTCTTTGCAACGAGTGGCACAGTGAAGAAGCTGGATTGGGATGACATCTCCGAGTTGCAAGTCCCCTTTAAGCATCCCGAGAAGACGCTCGAGCAACATACCGACAAGCGCAACAATCGCGCGGTCATCATCTCGGTGAACGAGCACGAGATGGACGCAGTGACCGAAGCTGTCCCGAAACACCACGCAAAGGACGGCTTCACGGAGGTGGACGCGGCGCGGGCAGCCAAGGACGACGTTTACTGAGACGAGCCCTTCAACTCCGCCACTCGCCTCGCCTCTGGGCGCCAGCCCGCCACCACGCTCCAGCTTCTCGTGTGAAAAATGGAGGTCGAGGGTAGCCCATCTTGGCCGCTGGGCATGTCAGCCTATGCAGTTCCACGGAAGCAGAGAAGCGCTTGAGATCCCAGTGCGCACCAGCCGAGCACAGGCCTTGGAAGCAAGCAGGCTCATGACCAAGCTCGCGAAGAAGGTCGGCCTGAAACGCACTAGAACCTCTCAGGGCAGCAGTGCCCCGGAGATTGAACCTCCCACGAGTCCACTCACCCAAATGATAAAATCGAGCTTTTCAATCGACCCTATAAACGATGGGGCATCTACACACAGGTGATCGTTTTCTTATTCATTGTTTCGTCGATCGGCGCGGGCCCTCGCACCCTCCCCCCTGGAGTAGATCTTGGCTGCTTTTTGGCGCCTGTTTCAAGCAGGTGAAGTGAGCACGGGGGCCCCGCCTCCCCCCCTTGGTGGGTGGGCACGGACACGCGAATCGTTGCTTCGAGCAACTGTGCATTGTGTTTTCGGGGCGCCAGTGCGTTGCAACTAAAAGCATGCCCCTGGGCGCACAAGTTCCCCAGGACCAGTTTGCCGTCCCGGATTCCTTCTTCGACGGCGCCGTAGCCATCGGACTGGGCCAGGACGAGGATCACTCCGTTCCAGAGCGTTCCGGAATGCCCTCGCAGCGCTCCGGCACGCTCAGAGAAGAGGGGGCCACGGCGCCCGAGGCGTCCTCCAGAGCCACCGGGTCTTCGAGAGTCCACAGGTGTCCTCGCCCGATGTTGTCCTCGCCCTGGAGTTCGTCTTACCCCTTTGAGCTGGCAGCAGCCGCCCCCCTCGCGACGAGAGCTTCGCAGGGGCTCTCGGTGCTCGTTGCCCCCTTGCTGGCGCGCCGTGGAGGCCCGGGGGAGGCCTCGCCGCGAGACCTCCACCACACCGGGCGCGTCGGGGGGTGCGCCTCGGATGCTCCTCCTGGAGGGAGCGCGCCTGCGGCCCACCCAGGGGCTCGGGAGGGACTGCAGTTCGACTCCATTTCGATTCCAGCGCGACTCGGGTTCGACTCCAGCGCGGCTCGGGTACGGCGCAAGTCGACGGGCGTTCGACGCAGCGCTCGGCGCAGGAGAGGCGCGAGCGGCTCCAGGGAGGGCCCCAGAGCAGGCATCGAAGGACCAGTTTGCCGTCCCGGATTCCTTCTTCGACGGCGCCGTGGCCCGAAAACGGCCTCCATGCAGAGGCCATCGAACGGGGCCAGGACGAGGAGCACTCGACGGGCGTTCCACGTCGCATCGACGCATGAGGGGAGCGATGCATCCTCACCCCAGCTCGTCCTCGTCCTGGCCGCGTCGCCGCGTCGCAGGCCAGGAGCCGCGGCGTGGAAGCGCTGGGGGGAGCCCCCCGTGGGGCCCGCGGGCCCGGGCGCATTTCTCGTGCGGCCTCGGGGGCGCGGAGGGTCGCGCTCCTCGCGCGCGCCCCCCCCCCCCCTTGAGAGTTGACTCGGGCATGTCCTTCTGCAGGAGGACTATCCAAGAGCAGTGGAAAAGATCCTCCAGGGCGGGGGCGCGCAGCACTCGCATCCCCACGCTGGCCCGTTGGAGGGCATGCCCGACCTGGCCCTTTGCGGGCGGCCGGCCCAGCCCCCCCCTCCCCCCCCACCGACAGCACGCTTCGGCTCCCGCGGGCTGGATCCTTGGCATCGCTCGGGCGTGTGTGTGTGCGCGTGTGTGTGTGTGTGTGTGTGTGCGCGTGTGTGTGTGTGTTTTCGCCTTGGCGAGGACCATCGAAGAGCATCCTCCTAGATTGAAGTCGGGCGTGTCCCCCCACAGGGGGATTTTCGGCAAAAAAATAAAAGATACCCCCCAAAAAAACAAAAAAGGCCAAACAATACCCCAAACATAGTCCCCAGAGCATTTTTGGATTATTTTTGATTATATTTCGGGTATTTATTATTTTTCGTCGAACATCCCCCTGTAGGGGGACAGGCCCGACTTAAGTCCTAGATCACCTGGCCAAGAAAGAGAGCACGCACGGAGCCAACACATGCACGTGGTATCGGCGTCCGAGCGATGGGCAGGATCCAGGTTCTGCGATGTTCCCAGACATGCATTGTGTCGCAGGCAATGTACACACTCCCATACATATTCCTATAAGAACGCCTTTTTGCGAACAAGGCCGAACTGATGCTTTCTGTTGCCCGAAGTCCTTGGCCTCCGGAGGCCGCTTTCGGGCTCCAGGACAACCGAACATTTCACTCCCAGGATGATGAACATTCTGAGCAAAGGGTCCAGAGTTGTTGAGCAAACGTTGGATGTTTTGGAATACGTGTGTCCCGTGGGCTCTCGACCACCTCTCATGGCCCCAGGGCCCAGAAACGGCTCACTGCAAGAAGCCTGAGAGGGCGCAGGCAGACTGCAGCCTGAAGTGGTTGCCAAGCGATGTGGAGCGACGCTGAAGCAAAAGTCGGGCATGGAAAAGAAGGGGGCGCTGTCACGTCGTGTCCTTCCCCCTCCTCTTCCTCCTCTCGTCCTCCTCCGGGCGCGTCGCCCAGATGCCTTGTCAGCAGTTTGTGTTTCCATGGCACCCCCTTATCGACCTTCCAGTCCTGGTTCCCACATCGCAAGAAGAATAAAACGGGGCCACACCCATCTTTCTTCGTCATTCTTCTCCCCCGCATGCCAGAAGCCATGCTCATTCACCGCATGCCTCTCCTCCTCCTCCTCGACACTCTGTGCTCAGAGCAGTTGCAGAGGGCTGCTCTGGCGGCTCTGCGGTCGGTCTGCATGTGATCTCCGCTCGCGGCGGGCTCGTGAGGTGGCATCCTGTTCTGTTGGCCCGCTCGTCTCCTCCTCATCATCTGCCTCCATTCAGCGAGCGAAGAACGGTATAAAATAAACTTTTTCGCTGTCGGGGGCGCCTGTCCCTGGGCGGCTGGAAAGTTTATACCCCTACGGTGCCACCGTAAGGGTATAAACTTTCCAGCCGCCCAGGGACAGGCGCCCCCGACAGCGAAAAAGTTTATTTTATACCGTTATTCGCCCGTTAATCCATCCCATCTCCCTCTTGCGCCGACTTCCGTGGCGCCCTCGCAGCGCTGCCCGAAGGCGGCGAAGTGGGCCGACACCGAGGGCGCCAATGCCAGCAGCGCCCCCAGGAAGCTCTGGTCGGAGCTCTACCTCATGAACCCCTGGAGCGCCGCCTGCCTGGTCCCCCCTTCTGGGCCTGCAGACATCGCTCCACCCGCCCCCCCCCCCCTTGCAGGCACGGGGTCAAGGTGGGCGGGGTGGGTGGATGGTGATGGCGATGATGATGATGATGATGATGATGATGATGATGATGATGATGATGATGATGATGATGACGATAATAGTGATGGTGATGGTGACGGTGGTGGTTGTGATGACGATGATGATGATGGTGATGCAGATGGTGACCATGATGATGGTGGTAATGATGTTGTTGATGAAGGTAGCTATGGTAGTTATGCTACTGAGAATGATGATGATGTTGATGATGATGGTGATGGTGACGGTGATGGTGGTGATGATGATGTTGACAATGGCGAGTCTATGATGGTGATGCTAATTATGAGGTGATGCTGATGCCGATACTGCTGAGGCTGATTATGTTGATGGTGATGATTTTGGTTATGAACATGGTTCGGATGGTATTTATGATGCTGCTGAGGATGACGACGAGGATGATGATCGTAATGATCATGATGACCATGATGGTGATGGTGATGGCAATTGTGGTGATGATGCTGATGCTGCGTCTGGTGATGATGATGGTGATGCTGATGATGATGCCGACGATGACGATGACGATGCCGACATTGATGATGGTGATGATGGTGATGGTGATGTTGATGATGCTGCTGATGAGTATGGTGGTGATGGTGATGCTGGTGATAATGATGATGACGGTGATGGTGATGCTGATGATGCTGATGGTGTTGATGCTGATGTTGTTAATGAAGGTGCTGATGAGAAGAATGATGATTATGGTGATGGTGATGGTAACGGTGATGATGATGACGCTGCTGCTGATGATGGTGGTGATGGTGATGATAATCATGATGATGAAGAAGCTGCTGATTATGATGCTGATAATGCTACTTATGGTAATAAGGAGGAGAAGGAGGAGAAGCAGGATCATGACGAGGAAGAGGAGTGGACCATAGTCGCTGAAACACACCCTCCCGTCCCGAGCCACTCATCTGCATTTGCTGCACGCATTCCTCTTTACTACAAGAAGCGCCCCCCCTCCCACCCCTCCCCTTGAAAGTGCAGGGCGCTATGGGCAGGCCATTCAAGCTAGAGCCCCGCTCGGCAATGGTATTGTCCTCCATCCTTCTGGTTATAAGACGTGCCACGGATGCGATCGTACATAATGGGAATCAGCGAGAACCCCTTTTGAATGAGGAGCTGCCTTCCATTCGGGGTGTAGCCGTGCAGTTCTGCCACAAGCGTCGAACGAGTCTCCAGAGACAGCCCCATTGCCCAGCTGAACAAAACTCGATCTTTTTGATTGTTAGAAGTTCGAAGTTTTTGGTACGAAGCTGCGCGACGCTGAGAGCAGAGCCTGCTTTGGAACACCGCCCACCTTCCAACCTTCCATCCCAGAGAAGGCAAGTGTCACATCTAGACCCCGCCCCGCCTTCCTTCTTTGGAACTGCTGGAACACGCTGAGACCAACGTGTGCGGAGGTAAGGCATGAGCCACGTTTTGGAGACCACCGCCTTCCAACAGTGTGAATGTTGGAGATTCAAATATTAAGGGCCACCAGCGGTGAAAAAACCTTGAGTAATCGAGGATAGAAGAACCCCTAACGCTAATAACCCGATAAAGTTGTAGCCTCAGTGAGGTTCCCGTCTTTGCATTAGGGGTAATAGACCTCGGTGGTTTGGTTCGATACATCTGCAGAGAGGTCCCCCTTTCCCTAATGTCTGTGGCCCTCTTAATTTAGATCCCCTCCCACAGGGTAGGGGATCGCTTTGTTGCGAATCAGCAAGGCACACGCCCGGCCTGTCCTGCCGAACTCTCCTGGTGGTGCGTGGTGAGGTGGGGGGGCCGGTGTTTGGAGCCGGCAGACGGCACGTCAGACACCTTGGCTGCGCGCGGGCGAAGACGAAGACGGCAAGGCGGCACGGTGCCGCCGGCACCAGTGCATCTTCCACGGCCACGAGCGCCGCACGATCAGTTCCCTCCATCCCTCTGCCTCCTCCTCCTCCGTTCCTCCTCCTTCTCCACCTCCTGCTCCTACTCCTCCTCCTCCTCCTCTCCCTCTTCCTCCTCCTCCTTCTCCTCCCCTCCTTCCGTAGCCATTTTGGTTCAAGATGGCACGCCATCGCGAGCGCAGCGTGGATACCGCGAGTCCGCGGCCAGTTCCGATTGTTTTGCAGCCGCACCCGGGGACGAGCTGCCGTCCACTCCTGCGTACCATCCCGGCGTTGCTGGCCGCCTTTCATATTGTTGTGTGTCATGTGCAGAGCATCCAGTCCGTCGCGGGCCCTGTGCCGAGCCTCCATATTTCCGCATCGTTCGCAGTGCCGTGTTCCCATATCGAGCCATCGTGTTTTGCTCCGACCCAGTCAGCGTGAATCAGTCAAGTACGCAGTGGCCCTGCAGTGCACCTGGCCAGTGGCGAATCGTTGAACAGCGCCTCGATATCCGTTGTCAGTGGTACAACATCATGTCCACCGCTTCCTCCGATAGGGATGACCAATCCAACGGCTCCACGTTCCGTAGTCGCCGAGAGGACCGCCACCAACGCCACGAAGACTCGCCGCGACGAACGTCGTCACGACGACCGCCAGCAGCGACGGGAAGAACCCCGTAGAGATGGCCGACGCGCTGCCCGCGAACTCCTGGGACACCGTGGCAACACCGGATTCAGCTGCCAAGGCCCCGCAGGTGCTCCTCAGCAACAACCCCGTGCAGCAGGTCGAGGCTCCGTTCGCCATCTGCCGACACCGACACGCAGGTCAGCCAGATCAGGAGGAAGCTCCTCGCCCGAAGCCCCCACCGTGGCCATGGAAGGGAGCGAGAAGCCACCACGTGGTCCTGCTAATCATGACCCCCTTCAGGGCGACGCTGACCATGGGCCAACGCCAAGATCATCGAGCAGCAGCTGGGGCCCGCAGCCGCCGAACAACTCGCACGTGATATAGAAATGGCTTCTACCTTTGCTTCCCAACCTGCTGCTGCGCCAGCCACTCCAGTCACTGGACACGCTACTCCTAGATCACAACACGAACCACATCATGCACATCAAGAACGAAATCGACCTCTACCTGGGGCACCCGAAGACCTCGATGTCGCTCTCCGGGAACTCATGCATCGACAAGTCGCCACTGCAGTTTCCTGATTTCAAGAACCAAGCTGACCAGTTCCTCGCTGAATATCGTGAAAGTTCCCGCCTTCTCGTTCAACAACAAGTTTCCGCTGCTGCACGCCGAGTGGATGTAATCCATGACGGAGCCGCCCGCCCTCGCAGATAACAAGACCGCCAGGCTTCATATCATCAGCGTGTTTTGGCAACAGACCGACCAGATGCGCGACGCCCTTGCCCTCGCAGAAGCACAGACTATGGTCGCAGACTTCAGTCGTCTTGCCGAACGGGACCGTCAGCCTGATCCGACGCTCTTCGTCGTGGGCTGTCAGCGCCTCCTGGCTCCGAATGCGGTGCTCAACGACCTCCAGGAATGGGTTGCAGAAGCCAACCGCCAGTCTAACCGCGTGGAACTATTCGGAGATGGCGAGCCTGCCCGACGCTTCGTCGTACAAGTCAAAGGAGACAGTGCTGTTGCGGTACCCCGTGCGCTGGCTCTCTCGCGCGCAAGGCGCCATGCAGCTGGTCGATAGAAGCTGCCTGCCTCAACTGACACAACAGGCCAGCCAGTTGACATCAACATCAAGCCCGGCAGGTCCCCCAAGCAGATCAGAACAGAAGTCCAGACCAAGAAGCTCCTTCAGCTATTGCAGCAGCGCTACCCTCGTCAGCGGTGGAGAGCTTTCCGCGCCAAGGGAGAGATCCACTGCGACTCCATGCCCATCGCCAAAATCATTATCCGCGGCCAGGCAGACCCCGCCATCCTCCAGTGGAACGAGAGAGCCTTCGACAACCGCAGTGCCAGGCCATCGACCGAGGCAACATGCCGACCTCTTTCCAGGCGCTCTTTGCCGATCGCCATCGGCCCAGAGTATACGCGTGACAATTTGTCCAACTTGGTTATCCGCGCGCTCGACCCTGAGCGCAGCGAGCTGCAGATGTTCTCGCGCGCTGCCCCGAGCACGCACCTGGTTATCATGGATGTCAACCGCGCCGATTACATTGTCGATGCCATGCCCAAGTTCGAGCTGCCGCCCATTCCTGCTGATTGTTCCCGCGTTGCTAGCAGCCGCTTGTATTGCTGCGTGCGTTGTCCCGAGCTGCCAGATCGTCTCGCGCCCCCGGCCGTGCATCCATATCAGAGCATCATGCTCCGTGCCGTGCATCCATATGGCCTCATCGTGTCCCGCTCTGTCCCAGTCCATAAGAGTCAGTCAAGTACACGGCGTTTTCGTAGTGGACCTGGCCAGTGGCGAACCAACGAACAGCATCCTTACACCGGCTGCCTGTGCTGCAACGTCATGTCCGCCGCTTCTCCCGATAGGGGCACCCTCTCCAACGGCTCCACGTCCCGCAGCCGCCGGGAGGACCGACGCCATCGCCGCGCCGTTCCTCGCCGCGACGAGCGTCGCCATGAAGACCGCCAGCAGGACGGAGAACCCCGCGGAGATGGCCGACGCGCTGCTCGCGAACGCCTCGAACACAACGGCCGCGCAGGATTTGCCAGTCAAGGCCATGCAGGTGCTCCCCAATCGCTACGCCGCGCTGCAGGGCGGAACACTGCACGCCGACCACCGACCACTGCGCGCTGGACAGCCAAATAGGGGGGAAGTGCCGCGCCCGAAGCCCCCGCCGTGGCCATTGAAGAGCCTCGTGCTGCGAATCCATACCGCCTCATCGCATTGCATCCTGCCTTCGCATCCATGGTCGCTGCGCCGCGCGCTCACCGGCATCCCGTCTTCGCCGCGATGCACCTTAACATTGTCGACATCACCGACAAAGTCATCGCGCATATTCCGAAGGGCGTCCCCAGTGACTCCGGGGCGCCCACCAGACTGCAGCTCCAGGCCATCATGA